CCAACTAATCTAGTATGTCTAACGAAAGTTAGAATACAAATATTATTAAGAATTTCATCAACAACAGCCCATCCATAAATCACGTCACACTATTTTCATGATTTTTTGCCCGTCCCCCCGTCCTTGTCACAGCTAGTCACATTTGTTAGACCCCCCCTAGTGTCACATGTCACATTTTGCAGAATTACATATTTTATGTATAACAATTATTGAATGAAAACAACGTGTCCGAAATCAGGTTTATTTAAAACACAATAAATTACTTTAAAAAATATTAATATCAAATCAAACAAAATAAAAAACATTATTACAATTAAGTATATCACAAAGTTAAGGATCCCTCCCTCCCCCTTGTCACACGATGGCACACCGCGAGAAGAGGGTGGCAACAGCCATATTCTACTCTGTGGTCATAAAATGTATTAACCGACTTCCCAAAAAGGAGGTTAGGTATCAATTCAGCTGTATGTTTTTTTTGGTGTGTACGTTACCCGATTACTCCGGTGGTTGTGGACGTATTTTGATGATTCTTTTTTTATTGGAAAGGTCATGCTCTCGGAGTGGTCCCATTTCTACCAGATCAGGATCTCATGATGGGATCTCATGAAAACCGAGGGGAACTTTTCAAAATTGTAGGGGTGGCGAGAGCGTTTGTAATTTTTTTGTATTTAATTAGCTTTATTATATATTATCAATTCTTTTTTCAGGTCCGTTTTCAAGAAGAATCCGATGAGGAGATCGAAAGTGAAGATTGGGAGTCACCAGCTCCACTGGTATCCTTCGCATAGTTATTTTGTAAGCGTAGAATAATTTTAATTAGGTACAATACGGAGTCCTGGTTTCTGAACTTCTAAACTTCTTCTTAAAAAGCTGGGAAACGCATTCACCGATTTTGCCTAGCATAGACGAAATTGTAAGAAATATTTATCAGATAATATTATGAATAATATACAACTTAAACGAATAATATACAGCTGCTCATGAGGAAGAACCCCTCTGTGGTTCGAAACTAGTAGAGCTTTTCTCTTTGGTTAGTTGCGATGAATACGATGAAGTCAAAAAACTTAAGTGGCACCTTTACTGAATCTCAGAGTTTGTTATACGTTAAAATTAATCGAAACGAGTGCTGTTCGACACTCTGGTGGCTTACTCTTTAATCCAATTCCGAACGATCGGTTGATATACTAAGAAAAGCTCTAGCTTTTCTCAGTATATTTACGTGACTAACCCGCGATTTTAGTTAATTTAGTATGTCTCATGATAGTTATTATAAAAACTTAAAACTGACTAAAACGACAACAGCGAATAAAAATTAAAAAATAAATAAATGAAAATCGCAATTCCGTCAGTTATGCCTCAAACAATTCGTCCGCATTACATCACTGTCACTGCAAGACGTGCCCAGAAGACTGGCAGCATTGCTACTTTGAATGGCAATGCTTATTTTCTGTCCGAAGAAATAGCCAGCCCTCTGGTCACGAGTAGAGTCGATTAGCCTACGGGCAATTTCTTTATAAACCGAATGTGCCCTGGGACCCCATGGCCCAAGTGTTTCGACCCCAGGTGTTTCATTCAGTGTTTATTAGATAGCATTGTTTAGCATACAGGTGAAATCTACAGAAATATTAATCAAACTCCAATTTAGACTTTCAGAAACCAGGCAGAGTCTACGTAATTATTAGTTTTTAATATGACAGAGCCCTACCTATAACAAAATTAAATATTAATGCGATATTTTTAGTTGTATGCTTGTTTGTAGGTGGATAACAACACACACAGTGAAATCTAATTTGTTCTTGTCCCGAAAAAAAATGGTTCTGTCTTGGTAACACAATAGTTTGACAAAGAAATAAAATGTTTAAAACCAAAAATAACTGGTGAGCCATTGCAAAAAGCAAACTTCGAAAGCGTACTCGAACTCATAGTACTGACATTATCAAAACATCACACCATGTAAATCTTGAAGATGAATTTTTGATGATGATGAATGATGAATTGATGAATTCCTTGTCAGGTGGCCCGTGCGAAGTGCGTGCATAAATTTACATCTAGGGTTTCATGAGCCTATTTCCGCGAAAAACTTTTTGAATTTCAAATAATGGCATCTTTTTTTTATAAATCGAAAGTACTACTTACGGCAAGTTGTTTTGCCGCAGGACGAAAACGAAATAGATTTCACGTTTTAAAGAGAGTTGAAACGAATCGAATAAAAACGCAATTTGGCAATTATAATAACTTTAATACATAAATTATCCTATTACAATATTTAGAAATAAGAGGTAAATAAGTTATATTTTTATACCTATTGCATAATTTTAATTAGACATATTCTCAAATTAATTTAAACTTGGTTTATTATTAGACTACCTTCGCATTGGCTTCATTGTATTATGTTTAAGAAAAAGGGAGATCGTACTACAGGAGTAATTGAAAAATTGTATATAGGTCTAGTATGTGTTTAAGGTTACAAGAAATACGTAAATGTTCTTTATGAAATGGAAATATAACATTTCACATCGTTCTTAGCCTAAGTATGTATGTATATTAATAGTATGAATTGTAATAATTATAAATTCTAATAAATTAATTCGTAGCTTAAGCATTATTTGACTGATGTTATGTATTTTACTAATAAAGATAATCTTACATTTAATTATAGCTTATTATTCATTTGTTTTATATTAAAACTTCGTGCCACCTATATTTTTTCTCACCTTTTAAACCTCCCCTGAACATTTCAAGACCAAAATTAGCCAAATTGCTTCAGTCGTTCTCGAGTCTTAGTGAGACTAACGAACGGAAATTCATTTTTATTTATATACATTTTAATTATTTGCTAGGCTTGTATAGGATATACCTTGTTAGAGTTGTCGATATTTTATTTCATCCTTTTATATATAACTATTCGAATATTCATTTCTTCATTAAAATCTGGATTAGTGACAATAGTAGCACTTCTATTAAGTAGGTGTTATCTACAAATCTTCAAACTCATTACCAAGAAGAGATATCAGAAGCCTTCTCTTCTTATGTATCTCATAAAATAAGTGGTCAAATAAGCTTATTATCAATATGATTTCAAAACCGACATTGTCGATAAGCCTGCAACCACCTTCGGCCTGACTGCGTGTGCACCAGTGGCTTGGAGCAGGCCCTGCCGCCGTGGTAGTTGATCAGCATGTAGTCGAAGCAGTCTGTTACTCCGTCGTTGTTACAGTCCTGGAATACGACACAGATTGCTGTTTAACTCGTCGAGTACCGTCATTATAGACACAATTATAAGAACAATAGGTTGCGGTCACCGGTGACCGCTTGGTGTTTGACAGTTTAAATAATAATTATTAGCAGGTGTCCGGATATAAGTTCTCGAGCAAAGACCGCGTCTAGGCAAACGTAGTATAGCCTTCTAGTTAGGTGGAGTGACGATATTTGCAAAGTGGCTGGCTGTGGTTGGATGCGTAGACATGAAGATCAAGTTCAGTGGCGTCCCATTGGAGAACCCAAATCCAGCAGTGGACGAGAACAGACTGTTCATGATGATGTTCGGATATGATGAGAGCACAAATGAGAGCCATAAAAAAATTGAATAAAGACAAACATTCTTATGTTCACATCAATTGGTACTGCGCTAGAAGAACACAATAGATATCGATGCTAAACTTAAAAAAACTGAAATTCGTTAATACTTCTTTGGTTAGTTGCAAAATATAATTTCTGAACATTGTATTGTAATAGGCCTCCTATATGACAAACTGCGTGAATACGATGAAGTTAAAAAACTTAAGTGGCACCTCTGCTGAACCTCAGGGGCCTTAGTACGAGTTTGTTTAACGTTAAAAGTAATCGAAACGAGTGCTGTTCGCCACTCTGCAGGCTTACTCATGAATCCAATTCCGACCGATCGACATTGATATTGCGAAATTTCGTACTCTTGAGTTGCAACACTAGCGCTCATTGCATCCGTATTGCGTTGATTTTTAATAAACTAAATGGTATTGAGTTTGGCCTTGTATTCCGTACTCTGAATGCTATTTTAACAGCTACGGTAGGGGTTGTATAGTTTTGACATTGAATCATTATTAACATTTTATTGCATTGAAATTGCGTTAACATTGAGATTTGTTTCAAGATTACCTTATTTTATTGTATTTATTGTATTATTGTATTAAGAGTAAGCACCCTTATTGACCGGCGCCAATGAACTAGAGCGCCGAACGCGCTCTCGTTTCAATTTCTTTGATGTGTGTGTTTAACAGTTCCTAAGAAAACTAAATATTACCTTTCCAAATTTTGCCATGTAGCTCTCGATAATTTTGATGGAGCAGTGGTAGTCACGGGCGCAGTCTTCGAATGCTGAAATTAAAATAATTGTTAAATGAAACTCGCGCCACACGCACCTTTTTTTTTGTAAGAAGGGAAAATCATCGAATGACTGCTCCCGCCTCAGTGTACGACTCTTACTGACTAAAAATCACCCCGTTCCTTCTCCTGCACGTCGAGCCGGAGCCCCGGTTACCCGTTAGGTTCTCCGCGACTCCGAATCGGCATCGGCCCTATTGGACCCCATCTGTGGTCTGATGGCTCTTTGAGGCGCGCGCGGAACGCGACGCGCCGTATGCTCGGGTCTGGTTCTGGCCGGACGGGGAGCCACCCATGCTCGCCGTCCGCAGGCCCACACGCACCTTTACGCTTTTATTTTTGTTATGCTTGTTTTTTTAAAGTAGATTTATCAACTTTCAGTTAACTTACATCTAGATAATTATTAAAATTCGGTACGATAAAACATTTTTAATACAAACCTTCTTTCCTATCCGGATCATCATCAGGCAGGGTCGGTTTACCAGCATCTACCCAATATACCCTGGATATGAAGAATGGGCCGCAGTACCCTTCGCTACAACCTCTGGACATGTCACACCCAGCTACGTGACAGAGACAACGGAAACAGGAGCCATTTAGGTTGGTTATGTGGACACCTGGAAATGTTTATGTTACATAGAATAATTACATTGATACCATACAATAAAAATTTCCTAGTTCATTATTTCATTTTTTGAGTACGATTTATACTCTTAAGATGACGTAGCTACCTCCAACTTTAATTCGTTTTAACTAAGTATTTTCTTCTTATACGACATAATAAAAAATACGTGTCTAATATTTTTTCATTAGCAAACTGACGAACTAATTAGATTTGTCGCTATATCGCTATGACGCTGTCATCATCCCCATTGTCACCGAATCATTATTATTCTGGCCTTTTGTCACCGACAGATCTGCATTTTGTAATTGACAATTTGCCAAATCGTATTCATGGCTTTTTTGTAGATCTATTGTTCGCAGATGATACACCTACTCATAACCTTTCTTAGGTGGTAAGTACCTACCATGGGATCAATGACTTCACAAGTAAATTAAAAGCTAGTGATACAATTGGAGCCAGTGAATGCAGGTGGTGAGTTGTCGTTCACCGTGGAGGACTAAGGGGGAGGCCTTGGTCCAGCAGTGAACCGGCAGTTGATGATGATGATAATGATGATGATACAATTGAATTGAATTCAGACTACATTTATACCATAACTTACGTGAGACATACTGAATTAATTATTATGTATTTCAGCTTACTCACGTTATTATTTGATGTAGAGGTAGAACTCGACTAGATTCAAGCCATACTAGAAGGTCATATTATTACAAGAGCCTCTAGTATGGTTTGAAAAACTTAATGATGAATTCAGACTACGTAAGATCAGAGTGCTTACTCTTGAAACCAATCTCAATGTGAATGCAATTTCAATCCAATAAAATCTCAATAATGATTCAATGTCAAAACTTTACAGCATTCAGAGTACGGAATATAAAGCCAAACTCAATATCCACGCAATACGGATGCAATGGGCGCTAGTGTTGCAACTCGAGAGTACGAAATTTCACAATACCAATGTCGATCGATCGGAATTGTATTCAAAAGTAAGCCCCCAGAGCCACGACAGCTAAACAGTGGTTTCTGGGTTTGATTTTTGGGGTGGCTGTCATTCTCAGGGAGGATTGTTAACCGATAATGATGGCAGTGTTTAAAATAATATAAACCACCCGTTTTTCGTGATGCCTCTGGTATTACTGGTGTAGTTAGACTATAATAACCGCTTACTAATGGAGTAGGTACTTACAATAATACAAAGCTTTGTTGTTATCGATTTCAGTAGATATAAAAGTAAGTAAATCAAATTATAACTGCCTCGTTATCGAGTAGTAGCACGGTGCCTGGAACTGTGCCCGATATGTGACAATAGGCTCACCCTCTATTACATGGGACTCAAAATATAGTGATAAGTGTATATTACACTGAACAGTGCCATTAAGTGTGGAACCATTCTTCGGCACGAATGAGCCGGGTCGACCGGAGTGATACCACGGCCCAGTCTCCCTAATCCCCGAATCCTCCACAATTCTCAAATTCCCAATTCCCAAAAGGCCTGTACGCACTTTAACACCTTGCAGTTTCAGGAGACAATAGGCGACACCGATTGCTTACCATTAGGTGATTCGTCTACTCGTTTATCGGTTTATGCCATAAAAAAAAAGTTCCGTAATGTGCATATATGCCTGCCTCTTGGGTGATAAAAGGCGTGATGTTATGATGACAAGTTATAATTATAACAGACGTATTCTAGAGGTATATTTAGATGCTTTTTAGTTTTTGTACATTACTTCATTAAGTAACTACTTACTTACAGCTTCAATAGCAGGTAGTAGATTAATATCGATCGATACAAAAACTTCAGATCTTCCAAGCAATGATTTATTTGTTTAAGAACTTTTGTGTTGTTTTAATTTATTTTGCTGTTCATAAGTACATTGCTTTAACTACTTATTCATTTTTGGGACATTATGGTTAATTGCAATGCCGAGAAATCCTCCGAAAAACCACACCACAACTTTGATTCGTTTTATCTAAGTATTGTTTTATTATACGACAAAATAAAAAAATACGTGTCTAATATTTTTTCATTACCCAACTTACGGACTAATTAGATTTTTAATTTTCATACCCTGTCATCATCCCAATTATACTTAAGCGCGACTTAAAATTGGATACCATTTGTATATACAGACATAAAACCCTCAACCAGAAAAATATTTTATATTTACCTAGAAATTTTAAACAAATATTTTATACATTGAAAACTTACAACTAAAATGCAACTTTTTTATTGCGACGCTTATGTTTGTAGCGGATTTGTACATTTATCATTACTTATTGTAAGATAATTTCCTATTTATCTTGTCATAATAAATATATCTATCGTTTATTACGACAGTAACAATAATAACCATTAACCTTAGTAAAACGTGTAGAACTGCTACAAATATGCTATCTATCATTAAAATTTTCCATAATCTCATTGACTTGAAACTGATGAAACATGATTGAACCACAGATTGAACCACGAAAACCAACTAAGGTAATACCAAGGTGTAAAATCCTCTTTGAGCTTCCTTTTCTGGGTATAATTAAACTGTCAAACACCAAGCGGTCACCGGTGACCGCAACCTATTGTTCTATAATTGTGTCTACAAAACCGGTACTCGACGAGTTAAGAATGGTTGGAGGTCACTCTAACCGATTAAAAACCACCCAGGTCCTCAGGCACTGCTTGCGAGAACTATATTCTCTTAGCACTGGATGACCTAATCTTTTACTTATACCCGTTTTCACCAAAATCTACTAAATTTAAAAGAACAGCTAAGGTAGGTGACATTTAATGTAATTTTGGTTGTCGCCAACCTATAAGTGACACCCAGCAGAACAAGTAAGGACTTAGTTTAGGTGCTACGTAACGTTAAGTAACTTTAAGTTAAGATTTGGTCTATGGGTAGTTAGTTAGTGGTAGTGAAAACGGCTAGTAACTCTTCAAAGTTCTTTTAATTTCAAACAATGGATTAAAACCTTCTTTAATTAACGGATCATCATTAACTCGTCGAGTACCGGTTTCGTAGACACAATTATAGAACAATAGGTTGCGGTCACCGGTGACCGCTTGGTGTTTGACAGTTTAAATTCAAACTTGAATTTCGAATTTTTCATTTTTTTTAAAGTAAAACATAGTATATGTAATTACTAATAACAACAAACAGAAACTTACCGAACACGTTGGTGAACCAGCAAAACAATCCAAGGAGAGTCACTATAAAAATTCGCGGCTCCATTTCTGCATTAACAAAACATTGCACACATCTTTCTACCACTGTAGTGCAGAACACAATAACTTCTAAATAAAACTAAATCACGACTTTAGCTGAATATGCTATTATAGTTAGTTTATTACGGATCTTAAGATACTAAGGTCCATCAACTACGCAAGTTGATTCATGGAATACGACCAAAAAAATGGACGACAAAAAGTTCGGTGATTGTTCCATTCGGATAGACATCGAATCAGTTATGATTATTATCTAAAGATCACGGTTGTTATTACCGAATTGATTGTTCTTGGATGAGAACCTTCTTGAAGGAAATGTACTTAATGAGTAAGTAGTACTTTACTTGGTTTCGTGATACCGGAATGGCGCAACTGAATGGCTTGGTTTTTCTTAGAATGGAAACAAATAGGCGTAAATACAGCCATTGTGCTTTTGATTAGAAGCTAGGAACTAAGAAAACCACTATAAAGTCCCAAATGTATAAAAAAAATCGATTTATTTATTCAAAAGAAACAGAAATAGTACGATTTCAAAATCGGCGTCCCTTTAGCTTTTTTATTATTTTTTTTAAGGGGGGAAAGTCATCGAATGACTGCTCCCGCCTGGGTGAGGCGGGAGGGAGTGTCAGACTCTTACTGACTAAAAACCACCCCGTTCCTTCTCCTGCTCGTCGAGCCGGAGGCCCGGTTACCCGTTAGGTTCTCCGCAGAATGTCCCTTTAGCTTGGGTACTCCATATTTTCGATTAAATATGGCGGTCATCAGTATCGTCATATCCAATGCTAAACGACATGCGCCTCTCCCTAGATTTTCAGATTGGCCGTTTGGAGGCGACCTATGCTCTGCATCCAGTCGCGGAGAACCTAACGGGTAACCGGGGCTCCGGCTCGACGTGCAGGAGAAGGAACGGGGTGGTTTTTAGTCAGTAAGAGTCTGACACTCCCTCCCGCCTCACCCAGGTGGGAGCAGTCATTCGATGATTTTCCCCCCTTAAGAAAAACCTAAGTAGCCGATGCAGATGGTAATATGCTCAAATTACATATAATATAACATCACGCCTTTTATCCCCGAAGGCGGCGAAGGGGTAGGCAGAGGTGCACATCATGGCACTGTATAATGTAACACCCACTTTTTCACTATTTATGTTACGAGTCCCATGTAATAGGGGGTGAGCCTATTGCAACATATCGGGCACAATCCCAGACTCCGTGTTACTACTGAGCATTTTTTAAAAACTTTAAGAAACCAGTATTACTTTGCCCGACCCGGGTATCGAACCCGAGATCCCTTGACCGGCAGTCGCACTTGTTACAACTCGGCCAACGAGGCAGTATGCTCAAATTAACTCGTCGAGTACCGTCATTATAGACACAATTATAGAACAATAGGTTGCGGTCACCGGTGTCCGCTTGGTGTTTGACAGTTTAAGAATGTTTTTTTAGAAGTAGCAATGATAAGATAAAATGAAATTAATAATAACTAAGTTTAATTTGCATGTGTAGGAATCAGATCGTGTTGTAGTTGTTATGAGCTATATAGTTCCGCTGTGTCACGAAATTATTGAATTATTCATAGTAAGTGGAACGCGAAGGTGACATCCGTGTGCTCTCGATCATGTCCTGTTCTCTGTTCATTTATTGTTTTATTAATTTCAGTTCTAATAATTGATATAGGTACTAAGCACGTAAAAGATAACATCTTAATCTCCCTTTTAAGATTAGGTATGAGAAGTACTTACACCTATTTGCTTACCTACCTAATTACACCTATTACCGAAAACATCTAAGCTTAATTTAATGTAATTTTACATTAAGTTAAAAAAATAAGATATTTTGCCTTTTTTCTAAACAGAAATGAGTAGGTTCAAGCTTCAAAATTATCTGACTGATATTTAATTTGATAGCTAGTTGTAGTTATTTTTATCTGAAAATCTTCAAAAGATCTTCATAATTTTGGTCTAAGGGTTGGTTCACAAAACTGAGATGCGAGGCGATGCGAATTCGCAACGCAGAAAATTACGATGCGAATTGCTGAGATCCGATTTCGTGCGACAAGGCAAGGATAGGAAGGTCTAAGGAATGGTCACCCTGGGTCTCCCAGACAGAGGCTTAGATAGACGACCGTCAACCGTACTAAACGTATTTTAAATTGAAAACTAGGTCGTGGCATGAATCGTAAAATCAGTGTGCACTTCTGTTATTGCTTAGGGGATACAGGAAAAATAAACAACGAAGATTTTGATGCGCGATGCGAATCAATTCGCAAATTCCTGCGATGCATAGAGGGAGCTCGCACATTTTTGCGATGCGACGCCGCATCGTATTAGTTTTGTGTACGAGCCTGCATTTTGTTGCTGGATAAATGGATGGGAATAGGATGGGTTACGAAACAGATAGATGAATAGTAAGAAGATAATATACAAGATAGAAGAATATATCTAAATAAATATATAAATCAATTGTTCTCTTTAAAAAACTAATTAAGGAGGACCATTGCCTTTCTTCATGAGTACAGATACTTTTTTATATGTGTATTTTATTTATTGTTATCTATTATTATATATATTATGTTTCATGTTTTAATTACATTTCCTGTCTCAGGTGTACTGGAAGAAATTTCAGCAATTAGCAGTAAAACGTTTAAATCTATTCTATATTAATAAACTTGGAACCCCTAAAATGTAAATACGCGCATAACAACAGTACCAAATTAGATAATTCTTTCTTCTATGTATTCATTATTCATTTTATTGTCTATCATTTTCTAGCAACTACAATTCTACATAAATTTTTTAACTAGCTCTAAGGAGGATATTGATCTTAAAGAGTTTACATTCAAGGACAATAGCTGAGAAGAGTTTTGACATGACATCTCTTGAGGCAGCATTCTTCAGTTAAAGAACGTCTATTCCTTATTTGACCTGATTGGTGATTGTGTTGGTGGTCATCTGTAAATAAAAGCGATAGTTATATTTCAGTCTTCAGGTCTCATTATCATTACCATCGTACGTGGGGTGGGAGTCCACCGTTGAACTATAGGTCTTCTCTACAAAAGACAGTTATCTGTCATAGTCTTCAAGCTTTGCAGACGGGTTGGAGACGGCAGTTTAAAAAGATCAGGTTTATCAGACAGCGCTGCTACCCAGATTTTTTTATACTTAATAGGTCAACGTTTGGCCACCATCAGATTCTGTTGATCAGGTTAAATATAGCATATAACCACAAACAAGTACAAAACTTACCCTGTAGGTTTTCAAGGTGGGATAAAATCAGTTCTTCATCAGCACAATTCATTTGTAATGCTTCTTAGAGTCTACGTCCACACAAGTAGCCCATAATGCCTTTAGGATCGTCTTCAGGTTCAGCAGATGATAGTGCAATAGTGCATAACACGAGAACACAGAATATCTTCATTTTAATGCTGTAGGGAAGATGGAGAGAGATAATATTTAGAGAAGGAGTAGTTCTAGGAAACCGACGTGAAATAACGATTGCTTTGTGTTTCGTCGTGTGAGTGAGGTTATCGCAGGCTCAATTTACCCCACCCCCCCATTCCACCTGAATCCCCAACAATCCTTAAATTCCTAATCCTAAAAGGCCGATAGAGCACTTTTAACGCCTCTGGTGTTCCAGGTGTCCATGGGCGACGCGATTGCTTACCATCAGGTGATCCGCCTGCTCGTTTACCGGCTTATCAAATAAAAATTAGGGTTGGTAGTTTTTTTCGATGTCGATGGTAGGTACGTTGCAAATTGTTTTTGCTGTATATTTTGATGAAATCGAAATTGCGAACAGAGTACCTAAATCTTATAGAATTGAATCTTATTGGTGATGCCTTTTTGCTCACAGAAGTTCTAGTGACAGTGTACTCTACTTTTTTTTTAAGGGGGGAAAATCATCGAATGACTGCTCCCGCCTGGGTGAGGCGGGAGGGAGGGTCAGACTCTTACTGACTAAAAACCACCCCGTTCCTTCTCCTGTACGTCGAGCCGGAGCCCCGGTTACCCGTTAGGTTCTCCGCGATAAAAATATCGCTACGTTGCTAGTATAAAGGTGGTTCGTCCACAGAGCGAGCAGTATTCAAATAAATGTTGTACTCACAGTATCTTGATCCACATGAACACAAAGAAGGTAGAAGGTTCACAGACGAAGTGGTCACTGTTAGTCCCCGACTTTTGTTTGTTTGGAAGAACACAAACAGTTGAAAGCAAATTACCGGATAGAATAAATTAAGCGCAGACGCATGAAATCCGCGTTGCGCTTGCGATAGCGGGTCTTGACCATAGATAAGGGTACTAAGAACTGACGCATGACAATGTAACTGATAAAGCGCCAATTATGCTGACCATTCACATTTAAAAAAACGTCTGTTTGTTTGTGTATGTTAAAGCGTTATTTAAAGTCAATGAATGGATTGAGCCAAAACCATGGACATTCTCTAGATATCTGGTCAAAATAACATCTACACATTATCAAGTTATCAGCAATCTAAACTCAAGTTCACAAAAATGTTCATGTTCGCATGGTCTACATCAGGGCTGTCCAAACTATATACCCTCGCGGGCTAATTAAATATCTTACAAAAAATATTTTCAGTTGTATAATGACGATTAAAAGGGGGCCGTGGGCTCGAGCCTCTGTGCCCGGTCCACGGTATTAAGCTGAGCTCCAGCATTTTGCGCTGCGACGCACCATAGGCGTTTTGTGTTTCTTAAATTCTTGTTGTGTGTCGTAGCAAAATAAATGGTTTTTCTTTCTTTTTTTCATTAGCGTTGTATTCTTTACTCACAGACAAAACTAATATACAAATTATACACTGACTTTTATTATTGTTGTTGCACATAAGATGAAGATGTTGAGATTAAAACGTGTGACGCGGGTCACAAGTAAACAAGCCGCGGGCCGCATGCGGCCGCGGGCCTTTGTTTGGACGGCCCTAGTCTACACAGTCTACACTCTACATTGCAAATTGGCTTACCTACTTACCCCAGAGGTAATCTGCATTGAATTGGACATATTATGGATACATGGATAGGTATTATCAATTCAGAAGACCTTTAATATTAAATTTATTTATATTTATGTAAATAAGGCAGTTTCAGCAGCGGAAATGAATATACAATAACAAGACTCTAGAACTAAGAAACATATTCAAACTAAATTAAGATTCTACGACGATTATTTCACCACTTATAATTATGTCTTCGACCATACACATTTTGTATTAAACTTAAGTCTAAGTAAGATATTATCTTGAGGAGTTTCCATTCAAGGACAATAGCTGACAAAATCTTTCACATGACATGGCTTGAGGCAGCAATGGTCAGCTAAAGTGGTGGATGTGTCTCTCTTCATCAGTTGCCCCTTCGACTCATGGTGATGACCACCCTGGTGATCATGTTGGTGATCTGGTTGGTGATTATGCTGGTGATGATCTGCAAATAAAAGTTATAGTTGATATTGACTGCATGGTTATCGCGGTGGCTGGGCAACCGTCTGTCGCGGAACGTGTAGCGGGTTCGATTCTCGCACGGAGCAACTTATTGGATCCACAAATTGTTGTTTTAAGTCTACCTCTAGGTATCATGTGTATGTAAACATGTATGTTAGTAAACGCACCCACGACACAGGAGAAAATGCTAATGGTTGGGCAACGGTACAATAAAGTATACTCAGATCCTTACGCTGTAAGTGTTGGAGGTTAAAGAAATCCAGGTCTCCGTCTTCACAAACACGTTTGACAGCCCTGGCGAGTTCAGCTCCGCAGACCTGGATCATCCTGCCACGAGGATGGTCTTCAGCAGACGACAGTGCAATAGTGCACAGTATAAGCACACAGATTGTCTTCATGTTGATGCTGTTGGGGAGAAAAAATACATTTTATTAAAGACTTATAAAAATATTGTTGTACCCTGTGTTCACAAAAGTAAATGAATTTTGAATTTGTTTTTTTTTCAAATACAACATTGGTTTATTCTTGCAGTGAGAATATCTTAAGCGTCGGATATGGCACTATAATTTTCTTCAATGTCATAAGTGCGTTATATATTTTATCTCTTTTAGTTTTATGATGTGTTTTATCACATCGAAATCAGATAGGCTATTCTGAAACTGTCAATTCCAGCTTTCGAAGCACGATCGCATTCTTGCCTTGCCATCTTGGTCGAGATTTTTCTCACATAGCGGACCGCGATCGAGTTCACTTCGATCTCTCGGATTGAACGTTGCAGAATCGCCTAGCAGATGTGATAAAACACCGAAATTTAAATTCAATCTTCCATACAATAAAGCTTAGGTCCAAGAATTTTTCCATAAAGAAGTTTTGGGAAAATCACGAGAATGAACACTCATCTTAATTAACGTTTTTTTTTTTTTAAGGGGGCAAATCATCGAATGGCTGCTCCCGCCTGGGTGAGGCGGGAGGGTGTGTCAGACTCTTTCTGACTAAAAACCACCCCGTTCCTTCTCCTGCACGTCGAGTCGGAGCCCCGGTTACCCGTTAGGTTCTCCGCGACATCTTAATTAACGTTTAAGATGAGACAAATATTTAAAACATTTAACCACTAACGAATTCCATTCCTAACTTACAAGAAAAAAAAAGACGAAGAAAGCAGGATAAAATATAATCAACAAGAAAAAAAGACAAAGAAAGGAAATAAAAATAAAATCAACAGACTTACTCGGTCAAATCTCCAGCTCAAATGCAGTTACACTGTCCTCGGGCCCGAAGGAGCATCGTTTAAATACTTAGGCCTGATAATTGGGTCCACGTTCAATGGACGAAAACAGGATGCTTGCATTAACCCATTACTTAGCTTTAGTACATAATCGCTTATTAGCATCCATAATGATCCCTTGGGATATATTTTTAGATAAGTGGTTTAATTCGTGTGAAAGTCTTTCTTATAGTTTATTTATCATTTCATGTACATTGTACACCATACAGCAGATGAGCAGACAATACTAAAAAGACAACACATTACAAGAATGAGGTACATAGGTACTGCATATTCCTTAAGGAGTTCCCTCACGCGCTCCGCCTCCTCCTTAACTATCATGACTGCTTCGCAGAAAGAGGAGACGGCAATCCAGTCCCCCTCGCTCCGTACCATAGTCTGAACTAGACCCGGACGCGAGAGGTCGCCGTCACCGATCACATGCGATGGACACGGCGGTGATCAGCCTACGCAGGGCACCACCACTGTATGATCTACCGTGTCTTCCGGGCGGGTCTAAAGTCATGCTAGAGGCTCAAATTCATGAGCAGCAGTTCGCGCGCGAAGCAGCGACTGTTGCCCTTCTACTCTTTTGTCCTGCTGCATTTATTTTGTTAAGTACAGGCCAACGGAACGTATTACAGCAGCTTAAGTTCCATAAAGTTGTCGCTAGTTATGTTATTATACATTCTAATACGAGGTTAAAGTTACCATTTCCACAGGATACCTACAAACATTCTGAATATCGTTACATAGAGTTAATCATATTTTGATACCTCCAGAACCGAGTCCAAGCTTTTAAGTTTGCTTGGCCTGCTCGACATTTCCATGATGTGAGTAATGAATGTCTGTATATTACATTTGGTAGAATAAATATACTTTTTTTTTTTATATTTGATGGGGCGACGTAAGTGTACTTTAGAAATACTTCTATCATCAGTCTTATTTTGTTCAGTTTCTTCAATACAACTCCTTGTAAACAGCCATCTCTATTTTTGAGGAACGCAATAAATATTATGAAATTTAGGGAAAATAAAACCAAAATATAACCCTAGAGACTAGTTCAATTTTATTACTTATACAAAAAATGTTGTTATGTAGAAAAATATAAATAAGTACATTTTTGTTCCATTTCGTCAGTTAAGATTACAGTTCCTTAGCATTATAGAAAACGAAGACATTATTTAATTCTAAAAAGTCAAAGATTAAAAATTAAATAGACTTTAGGAGAAGGACGTTACTGAGGCAAAGAATCCGAAGAAAACAGGAGACATATTGCCTTCAAGAAGGTGGTAGATGATAATTATAAAAGGTCCTCTAAAAGTCTCAATCTTCCCCTTTCTTCCTCTCTATTCATAGGTTTAGCCGTACTTCTGAGCGTTGGCAACAGCAGCTACACATTGGTTGAAGACGTTCACGTAGCTGAAGGGCAGGTCTCCAACGCAGCCATATCCTCCACGCTTGTGGATAGCCATGTAATCATAGCAGTCGATACGGCCGTCACCATTGCAGTCCTGTTGAAAGAAGGTTCTTTGTTAGATGGGTATAATATTGACTAAGTACCTACATCACAAACAACAGATAATTTTATGATCTTTGAATAAATCGATAGCATTTAATATAATAATTTTCTAATCTTTCTATGGATTTTTCAAACAGACATTTCTGCAGGTTCAGAAGAACCTACCTAACAATGTTTTTTTAGGTATAAATGTATACTATGTGACTGGGCAAACTTCGTTGCGCCTAACACATTTTTCTCACGTTTTAAACTTTCCCTAGACTTCCACGGATATTTCAAGACCAAAATTAGCCAAATCTGTTCAGCGGTTCTAGAGTTTTAGCGAGACTAACGAACGGACATTCATTATTTAAATTAATTATTCGTAAAATCTTTATTTGGATACGTTTACAACAAAGCCGCTAAGCACATTTTTCTTCACAAGTTCCTTCATCTATTACTATCTATTCTACATTATCATTGTGTGCCATTAGAGCTATAGAAATGGAGACATTAACTTTTTGGTGTAGGTCCTCCTTTAATTGTACAATGTACCTAACTAAGTATAGCTACATAATAGCATCGGCAACGCAGTCCAGCCGGACTATTAAGTACATTTAAGTGGCCTATTGTGTTCGCAAGTCACTAAACTTTAGTCACGACTATTTTATTTAAATGATTACCATAATCCATGTGCAATTTTAAACTTATTATTGTTTTGTAAGCACCTTATTCAGATGACCTCATGTTCTCGACATATGCTAATGGCTTCTTGGCCAGACAATGTCAATCAGATAGACATAGTTACATTTTACGCCTACGGATTTATTCAGTATTATACATACAAAAAGTTGTACCAGTGTTTAATTTAATTTAGAAACAGCAGGCAATTGAATGGTTCAATTGTTTTTGTAAAATGTAGTCAGGGGCTATATTTGATACTTTATATCTTGCCATCTCATATCACGCCTTTTATTCCCCAAGGGGTGACTACCCTTTTTTTTTAAAAATCATGTAATACTTTGCCCGAACGGGAAATCGAACCCGAGAGCCCTTGACTAGCAGTTGCACTTGCGACCACTCGGCCAACGGTAATCTATGGAAAATTATGATGTTCAAAATAGGTGTTTATAGCGTCAGCAACAATGCAGCTTTTTTTGAGGAGGGAAAACATCGAATTACTCCTTTCGGCCTGGGGAAGGTGTGACTCTAAAAACCACCCCGTTCTAAATCCTGCTTCGAGCCAGAACCTCGGCAAGTTCTTGTGGTTCTTCGCAGAGTTAAACTGCTTACCTGAGCGAATTTCCTCATGTATCCTTGTACGGCGAGGGCAGCGCAGTAAGGGTCGTTTGTGCAGTTCGGGTACGCTGTAAAACAATAATATATTCATTAGCCTTTATGCACATATCATATTTTATAACAAAAAGTTTTGTAGGTCTTTTTAGATGCAAGAAGATATGATAACTTTTTGTGGCTTGTGACATAGAGAAGATTAAAGAGAGATATTTTTTTCCTATGATCATACAGATGAGGTCTTTGAAAATTGGTAAGAAAGAAAAAGAAGGAAAGAACTTTATTCACGCTAAAAAACAAGTAACATGTACAGATGTGTTATTCTATTAGTAGTTTGCATTGTTCTCACATATACATACATACAGTATGGGAATATGTACCAGAGACATTGTAGAACATACTTTTTTAAAAAGAGTAACGAATGGAGTTTGTTGCTCGTTCTTCTCCATTCGAATCTACATTTTGGAATGAGCACCTAGGTTCACCTAGCTTCACTGACGGACTGACTGACTGACTGACAGAGAAAAGTACCAAATTATGGTTTAATTGAAATAAATGCTTTGACTTTGACTTTGACTTAAGTACTGATGGATACATGTTCTTGTCTCAAGTCTGCTGTGAAATGGAACCAGGAAAATTGAAAATTGAATGTATAGTCTATAGGGAAAATAGTAAAGTAATAGTAATGAAATGAGATATTTAAATTAATTTTAATTTTATTAATGGCTGACGCGACACGCGCCAAATGACCGAATCATTTTGTTTCACTCAAGGACTCCTAGTTGGAGTTGCTAATCAGGTTTAAGAACTTAACATAATTATTTTTAATTAACATAATTGTTTAACTCTTAACACGTTAAACGCCATGGGGGTCACCGGTGACCGGCGTTAGCGGAGGATTTATCTTCAACAGTTTTTTATTGACAGTCAACGTCTTAAGTGATTTATTTTAATAGATAACGTTATATTGACAGACATGTTAATTTATTACACAGAATACTTATTTGAAATTATAATTATAAGAATAATTATATTTTTTTGGGATTCAGCAATCATTGTGCCGATGGTCGTATCTGTATCTGCTATAGCTAAAAGCCTCGACCAACACTTGAGTAGACTAGCTTTAGATAGTTGGGTCAAGGGCCTGATGCAGAAAGAAGTAGGTACTTCTGGACACGGCGCGTATTGTCCGGATATTCCTCTCTCTGGAGCCCTGACCGATAGGTTGCATTACTCCCGTTACTGGTGGGCGACTGCTTTATATATTTTTAAATGTTTTTGTTTTTATATACATAATCAAATATTTAAAAATATACCAACCAAGTAAAGAAAATGGATCATTATAATTTATTTGTGTACCATGTTTGTGTTTGATTTAAGAATGATTTTGTTAGCAATGGTTTAATTATTCAAACTCCTGTTCGTAAATTACCATCTACTTAGTCTTTTTTCTTTTATTTGCCACATCTAGCGTTAGACTGGGAGAGAATGCCTGGCTTTAACTAATTTCTATTTTAATTCTATGACAGCAAAGTTTTAAATCAAATGTAGGTTGTTGTACTTTCGGAAAAATAATTTTTTCATCAACCGATCTGTGCTTTTAGTCAAACGCCACTTTAGCGCTTGTCTACCTAGAGAGTAGAAAACTAAATGTATGGGAGTGACATTGACAAGTGTCAAAATTGACGTCAATTCCATATAATTTGGTTTTCTACATTTGTTGCTTGCTTGTCTACAAGCGCTAAATGGCATTTGGCTACAGGCCCTGGAAATCATTGGTGACATCCGACAAGTATAGATTCAGCATTGGATAGACGTATTCTGACTGTTGATAATTATGATGATGACGATGATATTAAAGCTTGGTAAATATCCAGTCATTTCATGAATTGATATGTTCGCTACTATAAACTTTAAAAAGGAATAAAAGAATGACAAGTTCTGAAGAATCTGTATAAAAGACGCTCTTACCATCAGGAGCGTCCGACGACTGTCCATTGATGGTAGGTTTACCAGCATCAGCCCAGTAGGCCCAGGTGATGTGGAAGAGTCCGCAGTGGTCCCCATCACACTGGATGCCCGCCTTGCACCCTGACACAGCCTGGCAGATGCACCCCAGGCACACCTCCGTCACCGGCTGAGGTTCAGATGAGCCCACCAAATGTGCTGGAAATTGTAAATAAATAATATAATTTTAGATTGCGGAACGTACGGCAAATTTTACTAGAGTAAATCAAAGTTTTATAGAATGTTAATAAATCAGAGTTTAAAAAACTGCAATACCATTAATTAATATTGTATTTAAAAAAATATCAAAAGAATCCGCATTCTAAAATCTTAACGCACGATTTGAAAAACGAAAAGAAAAAAAAAAAAACAATTCGAACACACCATAAACTCAAATAAAATTCGCGCGCTTTTTATAACAAACAAATAAATCAATAAAGGAGGTTTTATGTTGATGTGAAAATTCCTGATCCAAGGTGACATACCTTTGTATGGTGATGACTTGATGACGAAATGTATAGGTACATAACTTAGGTACATATGTAAATAAGACCGCAGTATGTAAGTTATGAATCCTCTTTACGGTCAAGGTACTGTTTGGTAGCTGGACCTTGCTATGTATGATTTGCGGTTTGTTTGTGTAACTTGGCCCTTATTGGTTTAGTATTTGAGGAAAATAAACTTTAAAACACTTAAGGAAAGTTTCTTTTGGTTTATGATTTTTGGTTGTTAAATAAATGGAACTAGATTTGGATAATGTTTGTTCCATAAGAATGTAACGCCCAAGTATTCCGTCGAATGTCGATTTATTTATTTATTTATTTATGTAAAGCTTCATGCACAAAATGTACATAAGGTGGACTTAATGCCGCAGGCATTTTCTCCCAGTCTGACCTTTGGGTGATGCAGAGAAGTAGTAGATTTAGTAGTCTGCCTAGTCCTTTTTATGAAAAACTAGATTTTACCGCGTACCTAAGTAACTAGATTTTTAAGGCTTTGCTCGCGTATTCCTGCTTTATCCCAATCGAGATGTCGCGGAGAACCTAACGGGTTACCGGGGCTCCGGCTCGACGTGCAGGAGAAGGAACGGGGTGGTTTTTAGTTAGTAAGAGTCTGACACTCCCTTCCGCCTCACCCAGGCGGAACAGACAATCGATGAGTTTCCCCCCTTAAAAAAATCCCAATCGCGATAAAAATCCTATCACCTAAGTCAGCTCATACCCTGACTGTATAGACATCAAAATCCGTTCAGAAGTTTCAGCGTGATTGATGGAGAAAGATCGAAACATGTAAACAAAGTAACTTTCACATTTTATGATATTAGTGTGATTATTATCTAAGTACCTACATACCATGAGAAACCATGAGATTGAAAAAAAATCACAAAAATCGAAAATATCTTTTTGCTCATTCCAAGGTGTAGTAGATTCCTATGGAAAAGAACGAGCAAGAAACTCCATAGGTTACTCTTTTCCAATCAGGTTCACAATACAATTCTCCAGTTAAACATATAAGTACATAGTTAAAAAATCTAAACAGGTACAAAACAAAGTTAATTTACGTATTCTTTGTTTTAATTCCAATCCATTATTTACTTCGCACATTGTAATTTCTGTCACGATTTTTTGGTTATTATTATAATAGTTTTTACTAAGAACTTAAGATTTGTTACTGAACCGGTGCTCGGGTTTTTCTGAATACCCTTGTTTAGCAATCACAGTCCCATCCGTGTAAAATACATAATTGTGAATGAATCACTTACCTATTTCACTACTGTTAATCCATTAATCCATTCAGTAGTCATTGTTTTAGTAACAAATATGTCATGATTTATTTATTTATAGAACATGGACTTACAGCTAATAAAAAACAATTAAAAATAGCAATAAGTACAGGTAAAGGTATCGGTGAGCCAATTACCTACAATTGGGTAGTTTCCAGGATATCAAAATTAAAAATCGAATTAGTTCGTCAGTTAGATAATGAAAAAATATTAGACACATATTTTTTATTTTCTCGTAAGTTTAGGAGTGGGAGGTCGTTACGTCATAACGTGTTACAAAATGTGACACGCTGTGACGTCACACGATATTTCGAATTAATATATCGTCGAAAGTATTTAATTTTATGAGACAAGAAAAAATACGTGTCTAAAGTTTTAAATTAATCTACCAGACTAGACAGACCAGACAGAAAATTTAGGAAACTACCCTATTCTTCACGTTTAGAGTCACGTTAAGATTACAATGCCATTGTTCTAAAAATGCGTCAGATGTCATCAAGAAAAACAAGTTGCTTAAAAATGGATTTAAATGTCGAGGTGAAGGTCGCTTAAGGTCATTACTTAGTAGTTCGACCGAATATTGCGTGTTGAAATAAAAGATTTACACTTTTATCTTAGATATTATGTAATCTTTTTTAAGTGCAGAATAATTTTCGAGTAGGTATGTAAATGTCCCAAAACATTTCATTGTTTTTCTGAAATATATTCGGTAGTTACACGTGTGTTGCGGATGTCTATGGACGGCGCTGATTGCTTACCATCAGGTGATCGATGTTCGATTGCCTCCTATTCCATAATAAAGACGGTCATGCGTTTGTTTATTTATTAAAATACAAGAAAAATGTATTAATATTCTATTTCCATCTTATCGCAATATCAAACAAATAAATATTGTAAACGATAAAATAAACATGGAATAAATAAATAATAACAAATGGCTTGATTAATAATAATAAATTGTGATATAAATGCGGAAATATAGCTTATATATTATTTATTCATCTTCGACATTGACCTATAAGGTAGAGATAGATATAAGCCTAGGTACTCGGACTACGGAAGTTATTGCATATATTAAACTAGTTATTCCTACGCGATTTCACCCTCTCTGCTCGGCTCCTACTGATTTTAGCGCGATGGTTTATAGCCTATAGCCTTCCTCGATAAATGGACTATCCAGCTCTAAAATAATTTCTCCGGCCACCGTAAGCACGGGCCTGTGGGCGGCGAGCATGGGTGACTCGCCGCCCGATCAGAACCAGACCCGAGCGTACGGCGCATCAGGAGGAGACATCAGACCCATACAAATGGGGCCCAATAGGGCTGATGCCGATACGGAGCTGCGGAAGACTTAACGGATTGCCGGGGCTCCGGTCGAAGTGCAGGAGTAGGAACGGCTCAATAAGAACTGACTATTACTGATTAAAAACCACCCCGTCTGACACTCCTTCTCGCCTCAACCGGGCGGGAGAAGTCGTTAAAGGATTTTCCCCCTTCAAAAAAAAAGCACTAAAAGAATTATTCTATTTGGACCGGTTCTGGAGATTAGCGTGTTCAAAGACACAAATGGACAAACGCTTTTGCTTTATAAATAATAGTGTAGGTAGATTATTGATATAAGTCATCGAATACTCATTACTTACAAGTTGCAAACAAACGAAAGGATTGCAATCTGTAAAATTACATACTAAAGTTCAAGATCGAATGCCTAAGGCGATACGTAATAGCGTGTTACACTTTATTTATTATGCTAGTTTTGTGGGTGTGGTTATTTACAGTGACAGTTTCTGCAATGGCCAGATGGCAGCACCGGTGAGTTAGGTCCTCTCCGTTCAATATGGTTGCTGTTGCGTTTGTGATTGAAAGGATAACAGTTTATTATGTTTTGTTTGTTTACTATATTATTATGAGACCGAAGAGAAGAAGAAAAAAGTATGGATAGTAACTTATTGCGAATATGAAATCACAGTGATAATTTATACACTTTTTAATTTATTCTGTAATGCATAAAAAACGTACATAAACCCGCAATATCCGCATATCGATATCCCTATAAAAAGTTGAATAAGAAATTGCATTCATAAATCATGAATAACTGAATATTAATGCAGTAAGTAGAGCCAACATCTAGTTGATATCTTGTTGCATTGTTTATAGTGAATTATGACGTCACATTTTGACCTATTCTAGACGTTTGACATTCTGCACACGGATATCAGTGATGTCATGCGTGGAAGGTGCAGAACTACGTGTGTGGATCATGGCCTGGTGACTAATGGAATTGACTATCAATTTTAAAAGCCATCACAAACTTTATGTTGGGTGACCCTAGAGGTAAGGATTGAAAATCAAACATAACAGGGGTATATGAAAGGTCATTTAGGTTTGGACTCTATATGTACATTTTATATATATAATATGTGGATGGTGAATAGGCCTACATACAACCTAACAAGGATTCGAATTCGGCTATAAAACATTTCTAATTTTATAATAGGATAGTTTCCTAAATTTTATTTTAATGTCAATCTGGTAGGTAGATTATTTTAAAACATTAGACTCGTAATTTTCTTTTCTCACAAAATTAGATGTTTTTGACGATATATTGATTTGAAATGTCACGTGACGTCACAGCGTGCTACATAATGTACCACGTTATGACGTAACTACCTCCCACTCCTCAACTTAACGCTATTTTATTTAAATATTGTAACTTTATACGAGAAAATAAAAAAATACGTGTCTAACATTTTTTCGTTATCTAACTGACGGACTAATTCGATTTTGAATTTTTTACCCTGGAAACTACCCTATCGCCTACTTTTTAATTGTTCCCGGAGCTTAGGCATCATGAGGAGTCCTTCCGGTCAGATTTATAGTCCAATGTTAGTTTGGAAGCGCTAATCTACCTTAAGCAACCGTGGTGATTCATTGTTACCATAAAAATAAACTTCAACTTGTTGTGTTTTATATTATTTTGTCCAATAAATTATCACATTGTGTTAAGGCTTGGATATAAATAGAATTGATGTGATACCGGCATTGAGAATAAAATGAGATTTTAATACAAAGTGCAGCTGATGTCAGTCCTAAGACCTTGAGAGACGTGCCTTCATTTAATTTAATTATCGAATAACTTATATATGGGCTTATACAATATGTACCTACATCCATGTACGAAAGGGGGCTATGGTGCTGGCTAGAACTAAATACATTTACTAATAGGTACAGTACGGTATCACCGTTTAAATTCTTTTTTAATCAATTTGCCCCATTGGGGTCATAACTAATTGTTTTGATTAGAATATTTATAAATCAGATTTAAGCAATAGGTAGCACTAGATACGCTTTAGTATATTAATTGTTTTGTCTATTT